AGGAATCCTACTTCGCGGAATTTCATTTATCACGGTAGGGTCTAGAACCGATTAACCGAGATAAACGAGGGTTCACTGTAGTCACAAATCTGGGCCTTTAGTGCGGGGGAGCGTCGCAGAAGTTGGCGGGATAAAAATTGCATGATCTTTTAATTCCAGTGTTTTCTACAAACTTTTGGAAGGACCCGCGTCGAGCCCTTTCTCCCCGTATGTCTGTGGATTACAAGACAGGTGTAAGGGGCGATGAGGCCCAGGGTGGTTTTCTTTTTCTGACACAGGGGCTTCCAGGGGTTCTTCCAGCCAAACAGTTGCCACAGAGCTGAGACCTGCTTCATGCGACCTCCGGCGTCGGAGGGGACTTGCGTTCCAGAGGGGTTCCGGTGGCTGGTTCCTCTGGGTGGACTCCACCCTCCAAGCCCGGGGTTAGTGGGGGGTGTTGTGTCCGTTGGCACCACCAAAGGACTTGCTTGCTAATAACTGGCACACTTATTGAAGGGGCCCTCATGGTACAGTGGTTCCTTGCTGGGTTGCTAACTGAAAGGTCAGCAGTTTGAAAACACCAGCCTCTTGGAAGGAGAAAGATGAGGCTTTCTACTCCTGTAAAGAGTGACAGTTCTGGAAACCCACCGAGGCCGTTCCTCCTTGCTCTACAGGGCCCCTGTGAGTTGGCATTGACTGGATGGCAGTGAGTTTGAGAGGCACGTACACTGAGCCCTTCCCCATGCTGCGAGCCTGCTGTCACCTTCATGTAAGTTCTCAGGGGTGGCGCTGGATTAGTTGCTTGTTTCTCTGGGCACCCTGGAGCCAAAGCTGATGAACCTGGCCCTGCCTTGTCCCCTCCGACTCATGCTCACTCTGATTCCGAGCTAACCCGCATCCACAGTGGAGATGTGTCTTTAAAAGGAATCAAGAACAGAAACAAGAGGGGAAATCAGCATGGTGACCAGAGGGAAGTTGGCTCCATTATTCACTTCCACACTCAGACCTCTGTCAGGCTGACCTCGGAATGGAAACTCTGAGCCCTGAGCGGCTGCCACCTCGGTATCCCAGACCTGTCTCCAGACCTGGGCTTGGACCAGGGAGTGGGAGGATTCACTGGCATGGGAAGCAAGCAGCTGGTGTCTACCTTACAGTCTGGGTCATAGACTTGAGGCAGGAGACTCAGACTGAGACCTACAGCTCCTCTGGGTCATTGCACACACATCCCTCCACTGGTGCCCTGACAGGTGTATAGGGATCTCTCCTTGGGAGAGGGGGGGTAGGGTCCCTGGTGGTACAGACTGTGAAGTGCTTATCTACTAACCAAGAGGTTGGAAATTTGACTCTACCCAGAGGTACCTGCCAGGGGAAACCAGCCCCTAACAAATAGCACAGGCCGGTAGGCACAATTATACGTCTGTAATATATAAAGATGATCATAAAGTCATAGAGAATAAGAGAGATAGGAGAGAGAGTAAAATGAAGGAGTCAGACATGTTTCATGGCAGCATGCTCACCTCAGCCCCGCTTGGTGGTTCACGTGGAGATGGGAGAGGAGAGAAGGAGAGCAATTTATTTCTAACCAAGGCTCATATATACTTGGGGGTGTGCAAGCCCCCCAATTATGTCACAGACAGGGGTTGTACCATCGGTAATACAGCAATGGGAGGGGGACGATCTCAGGGTGTACACGCTATAGGAAGAGGAGGCATTAAGGGCACACATGTGACAAGATGGTCAGATCCTAGATTCATGATGGCAGCCTAACCTTGATCGTCCTTGAGCTGGTGGTTTGACTTATTTTGAGCTCTCCAGGGAAAGCCATCCACTGCCCTTAACAGCCAGGAGTGGGCCCCACCTACAGTGGTTTAAACAATAGTGTCTGATTGCTCAGGATGGCTGAATGCCTTCAGGAAGATAACTTCTAAGTAGTGTGCTACAGGCTGGGGAAAAGCCTTTCCATGTCCCACAGGTACAGAAGCGAGGCTTGGCACTGCTGTAACAACAGGAGGAAGCAACGCCTGGCCGTGCAACAACCTCTCAGTGGTTGTTATGTTAGGGTCCATTGCTGCAGCCCCAGTGTCAATCCATTCCGCCGAGCGTCTGCCTCGTTTTTGTTGCTCGTTGACTTTACCAAGCATGGGCCCTTCTCCAGGGTCTCTCCTGACAGCACGGCCGAAGTACGGGAAGATGCCTCACCCTCCTGACCCCTAAGGAGCCCTCTGGCTGTGCCCCCTCCAGGAAAGAGGTGTTCTGTTGTCCATCCTC